GGCTTGACCACGACAGGATTGAGGAGTCAGACGGCCGTAGTCCGGCTTTTACGCAGATAAATGCTTGTGGGTAGCGCGACTCAAAGGTGCAGTTTCACTCGTCTTTGGGACTAAGAAACGGTCGACTTGTTTCATTGTCTTTCACTTGACCTCAGGCGTGACGGCATGGAGGGGCGTGGGTCATGGTATGACTGAGGAACAGTGAGGACTGCCCGGGATGAAGGATTATGCACGGCGGTAGCTGGGTCTATCCGTTGTACAATGCTTTGGGAGAGAACAGGACACAGTCTGTTCTATTCCAACCTGGTGTACTCGAGGCCTTTTGAGCTCTTGATAGTGAGATGTTCGTGACGGATGGAGACCCTACCATCGACGCTCGTAGGAAGGGCGTCAAGGGACCGGGTCGCCGGACAGGCCGGTCAGGCCGAGTCTCCAGAGCGCGCCGACCGTGGAGACCGTAAGGCGTGAACGCAGGTCACGCCGGGCGCTCGCTGTCTGTCGGGGGGGGGGGGGGGGGGGGGGGGAGGAGCTCCACCGTCCGATCGGGCGCATTGCCTACCTCCAGACCTCTGAAGAATGCGCCGCGGACGATGCCTTGCAAAGCTCACTGCGATAGGCGGGAAGCGGGGTCGCAGAGTGCCAGAGGCGACGCCTCCGTGCTGGACAAGGCGCTGCCTGGGGTGCATGCGCGGCAGCGGAAAGCTTCGAGCGGTGGGCGTGGCCGAAGAAATGGTGGGCTGCCTCACCATGGACGAGACGCGGGGAGCGCCGTCCGAATAGGGACCCGTCACCCGGGAGGTCGGGCGAGGGAACCAGTCTTCGTCCAGCTTCGGACACCCGATGCCGACTCAGGCTGATAAATCAACCTGACATGTTTTAAATGAGGCATGCACGTAGCTTTACTTGAAGTTTAAAATGCGTTGAATAAGTTTAATTTGGGTTACCGAAGACACGCACAGACATGCCAGTGTTAATGCTAAGACGCTGAATAAGACGAGGGGAGGTCCACCCGTGTGCGAGCCAAGAATGAGTGGGGTGACGTGAGCACCAGCAGATGCGTCTGCTTGGAGTGAGTATGGTCGGACGCCGAATGCATGAAGTCTTTGTGGATTAATTAAAGTCGAGCAGGGGGGGGGGGGGCTCCCAGATTTGTTGCCCAGTGGGCCCCCCTTGCCAATGTAATTCGCCGGTTGCGTGGGATCCCTATTAAGTTGGGCGCATTATCAATGCATCTGGTTCCGCTTTCGTCCCGTTTCAATGTCATCATCAGCTTAAAGGTGGAAGTGGGACACTGTGGTAAGGGACGCACAGTCATGTGCGGGGAGACAGCCGTCCATGGTGCCTGACTGAACCTACCATCTCGCCAATGCTCCGGTCACCCGCTCATGATGATCCTAGCTCTGTGGCTCACTCGTGTGTGTTGATGTCGAGTGTACTGGAGTCACAGTGTGCCAAGTCGTGCGCTTACATCATGCGGCTCGCATGCCGACCAATGGGCTCCTCAGTATGAGTGGCGACAGCGGCAGCCGGCGGCGCACACACATCCAGCGGTGGGTCATCAGCAGCGCGGGGCACGGACACCGCAATAGGAAACCCGTCACACTTACGCCGGTACAGTGTATGTTGATGCATTTAAACTTTAATCACATTTGATCCAAAGTGTTGGGCAGTTTCAGTTTATGTACGATAGTGGAATCTTGGTTTGAAAGATGTCGTGTGGGCCTGCACAAGTCAACAAATCACTGCCTCCCAAAATCGAATAGCTGGGGAAATTAAGTATAAATCCTTACAAAAATGAGGAAAGGGTTCAGAAGTCGGTCACCTCCTTCCACAGGTGAGTCGAGATGGGAATCAACGAACTAAAAGAGCTGTGATCTCAAGCCCAGACCTATAAACACCAGCAGACCTATAAACACCAGACCTATAAACACCAGCTGGTTCCTGTCTCTGACTCAGGCGTGAGCCAACACCAATCAGGTTTTACTCAGGTTCGGACTCCACCTCCCACCAAGGTGAAAGACAAGCTCAGACCAACAGCAGCCTGAGTAGAAGTGGGCTCCTGATTGCTTGCCATCATATTTCTGGGTTAGTAGCGTAGCACTTGCCACAAGTCACACATGATCGCAGCTTCTAATCAAGTACCCTCGACTCCATTCAAGCTCGACTATTGGTTCGTTTGGGCACGCTTTGACCAAACATATGACCTATAAAAACCTCTTTAGTGACAGTACACGCAATAAGCCCATATCAGCCTGCATGCTAACGCTTGCTTCGCAAGTCGTAAGGAAAATTGACTTGACTGGATTAGACTGGGCTGGGCATGAGTCAGATTTGGTTAGATTGACTAACTGCCTTTACCATTGTATCAGCGACGATTTCTATCATGGCAGCCCTACACAAACCCTCACTATCGTGTAAAAAGGGATGGTGGATGTTAACTCCATACTTAAGGACTCGTGCCCATTCTCTCGGACTCAGTTCGCTGAATCTTGGACCCAGGCGCCGTGAGAACGGGCCACACTCGAGCCCTCATAATGATGTCGCGCGCCAAGGACAGATTCGATGCTCTGACTCAGGATTCAAACGCACTGAGTCGGATTCCGACTTGGAATCACATTCGTGGACTCGGGCCCGTCTGTTGAAAACTGACGTCGCGAAGCGCGTCACCTGTTCGCAGTTTCTGCGGCAACACTAAAGGAACTGAGGCCATCCAACTATCTAGGCCATATTCAACAAGGTCATTAGTTGTTGCGCGAAAAGTCCCGGTGTTTGATACCATTTGCTACCTTACCGTTTAGTACATTTCGCCCTTTGAGCCGTAGTATTCTTGCAAAGTTGTGGCCATAGCATGCATGCTACGTCTTTATACACCGCGCAGTATCGACCCTATGGTAGGTGTTAGGTGGTGCCACTACCGCGTGCAAGCGTTCAGTATCGACCCTATGGTAGGTGTTAGGCGGTACCACTACCGCGTGCAAGCGTTCAGCATCGACCCTATGGTAGGTGTTAGGTGGTGCCACTACCGCGTGCAAGCGTTCAGCATCGACCCTATGGTAGGTGTTAGGTGGTGCTACTACCGCGTGCAAGCGTCACAACGCAGCGAGCCGGACCCTCCTTCATCATGTTAAGTGACAATGTTTTCATCGTTTCGCATTCCCGAGGTCGAAGAGAGCGTCGAGCTGGAAAAGCTGATAGGGATCGTACTTGCCGTTCCGTTCAAGAACTCGTGAAGATGCAAAACTGTTCCGTAGAACCAATCCGTTTAAACTATCTGCCATTATGCATTATGCCAAACTTCACACCGCGACTGTTCTGATTAAGAGTTATTTGTTTCATCGGGATGGGAATAATGGGCAAACACGGAAGGAGAAACAGCAGGAGTGTTTCTCGTCCCCCTGCCGAGTTAGTTGAACACGAACCCCATGCTGTGTGATACTGTATGGATGCATTGGACTCGGAGAGTTTTGGCATCGCATTTTTTCGTGACTGTTTTACACCCTTGGCCCTGACCCGTCGATCCCCAGATTTGTATGATCCCCTGGCCCAGTCATCCAGCCGGACCCAGCCGAGCACATCGCCGATTGGCCGTGCCAGCGGGCTTCCGGAGGCTCTGCCGCGGCCGACCGGAGTGTCAGCTTTCGCCTCCCGCCGACCGGAAACTAGTGCTGGCACGCGTCCGGTCCGGTCCGGTCCGGTCCGGTCCGGCTCCGGCCCCGGACCCCAATCCGTCTGCGGCTTGAGGTCGAGTCCGGCACCGGCTCCACTTTCCACACTGTGCTCGGACTACCTCAGACTTGATCCGACAGTGTGTATGTATGGGCGGGGGGGGGGGGGGGGGGGAGGCTGATGCGGGTTGCGCCGGCGGCCTGTTCATCGCAGTAGCACTGACTTGTCCGGTGTGCGCACCGGCCTCCACGCTGACATGATGTGTTCCAGTGGCCTTCCTTACCGCGACGGCTACCAGTGACCGTGTTACCGTTGAGTGGGTCCAGTGCCCGTCACACTCCCAGCAGTGTTTGGCTTCCCATCCCGTCCGTGTTGGGATGGCTGCTCTGTCGGTCGCCCGTGTTTCCTACCCAGATGTTCGTTCTGGCGTCCGCCAGTGACCAGACTTCCTGCACACGAACGCCCGGTCCGACCGCGTGCGGAATGCCAGTTGGCGACGGCATGTGCGCGACCGTTCCACGTCCCGGTGTCCAAATCAAACGGTTCCGGTCCTGCTGTCTGGCTTACCGGGGCGCTCGGTGCACCTGTCCGGTCGCCCGGTCCGTCCCGGTGTCTGGCTGTCTGCCGTGTCGATCCCATGTCTGCTTGTTTGGTCTGTCCCGTATCCCAATGTTGACTGTCCCTCGGTGGCGCGTTCCGCTGTCTGTTCCGTGCCGTATCTCGCTGTCAGGTCGTCAGTCCTGTCCCGTATCCCGCTGTCAGGTCGTCAGTCCTGTCCCGTATCCCGCTGTCAGGTCGTCCGTGCTGTTTCGCGTCCCGCTATCAGGTCGTCCGTTCTGTCTCGTGTCCCGCTGTCCGCCCCGTGTTCCATGCCCAGCTTCCCGCGCTATGCTGTGCCTGACTGTGCGCTGTACTCTGCGCACGGCTAGCCGTTCTGTCCAGCAGTCCGCCGCCGTCTGTTCCGTGTCCGGCTGTCTGTTCTGTCCCGTATCCAGGCTATTCGTTCTGTCCAGTGTACGGCTGCCTACCTAATCCCGTTTCGGCTGTCCGTTCTATCCCGTGCACGGCCGTCCGGTTCTCCCCATCACTGTCCTATCGCCCTATCCAGTGTCTGGCAGCCTCACTTTTCTTACAGTCTACAGCTTTGTTGTACGCCCCGTACAGCACCTGGCTGCATGTTTGTCTTGCATCCGCTGTCAGTTGCGTTCAATGCCGAACTCCCCACTCTGTTCTGTCCCCGACCGTCCGCACTGCCCGACCCTCCGCTTTTCGGCGCATCGGACCGCTGTTCGCTCCATCCGTGCCCGCCTGACGTCCAGCCCATCGCGCCGCAGGTTCCCCCAGTCGGACGGCGTCTGGAGGACGGTGCCGCGGCTCCGCGACCTGGTCGGCCAGCTGCGGCAGCTGCAGCTGGCCGAGCAACCGCTCGACCGGCTGCGACGCCAGCGCGTCTGTCGAGCCATCGGCCGCCGCTGCCGCGCCGACGCCGCACGGACGTGAGGCCGTCGACGACGGCAGACGGGATAGCACCGCGGACAGACGGGACAGCACCGTGGACAGACGGGACAGCGTCGCGGACAGACGGGACAGCACCGCGGACAGACGGGACAGCGCCGCGGACAGACGGGACAGCGCCGCGGACAGACGGGACAGCACCGCGGACAGACGGGACAGCACCGCGGATCGACGGGACAGGACCGGGACAGATGGGACATACGGGACAGACCGGGACAGACGGGATAGCACCGAAGAAAAACGGGACAGCATCGGAAACAGACGGGACGGCACTGCACACGGACGGCACCAGGGACATACGGGACAGCACCGCGGATCGATGGGGCAGCACCGGGACAGACGGGGCAGACCGGGACAGACGGGACAGCACCGGGGACAAGTGGAACAGCACCAGAGGACGGGACAAACGGGACTGGGGCGAAGGCAGACAGCATAGCGCCGAGAAACAGAAGGGACAGTGTCTAGCATAGCTGACAAGTGAAGTGCCTTACGAGACACTGGAGCAGTGAGACGCAAGCGACGTGAAAAACGACGGACAATTTGTTGGCACCAGAGCAACATGTGATCAAACAGACGAGGGACATGTGCGACAGCACTGGCGTGGGCAAAGTGCGAGGAAACAGACGCAGCAATGCCCAGACGGACGAGAGGAGTGGGTGACCGAACGGGCGACGAGCACCAGACCTGACGTAACCTGACCTAACCTGGGACCCCGACGCGGGACACGCACATCCGACCATTTCGTGAAGGGACGTCGACATTGCATGTTACGCAGAGGCGCTTGACCGCGTGAGGGTCGTGTGGCAAGTTGACGCATCCGCGCCCGTTGGTCGGAGCGCTCGGAAGCTGTGCTGCGCGGGGCGAGCAGCGCTCGGAGGGCGGAGCAGTTCCAGCCGGCGGTGCAGGGGAGCGCACCGAACCCGCTGGACACCGCCTGAGGACAACGGAGCTTGGTGTCTTTTGAGCTTTCCATCGCGTGGTTACGTGCGGTATTTAAGGTTAGGGCGCGTTAAGATTTGACGTTATTGGCTACGCCAGAGCTTCACGGGCCCTTGTCCCGTGCGAGCGTCACGGGCCCTTGTCCCGTGCGAGCGTCACGGGCCCTTGTCTCGTGCGAGCGTCACGGGCCCTTGTCTTGTGCGAGCGTCACGGGCCCTTGTCTCGTGCGAGCGTCACGGGCCCTTGTCTCGTGCGAGCGTCACGGGCCCTTGTCTCGTGCGAGCGTCACGGGCCCTTGTCTCGTGCGAGCGTCACGGGCCCTTGTCTCGTGCGAGCGTTACAGGCTGTTGCTATGTAGGAGCGCTGCGGGCCGTTGTTTCGTGCAAACGTTACGGGCCCTTGTTCCGGGCAAGCGTTACGGGCCCTTGTCTCGTGCGAGCGTTACGGGCCGTTGCTATGTAGAAGCGTTACGGGCCGTTGTTTCGTGCAAGCGTTACTGGCCCTTGTTCCGTGCGAGCGTTACGGGCCCTTGTCTCGTGCGAGCGTTACGGGCCCTTGTCTCGTGCAAGCGCTACGGGCCGTTGCTATGTAGGAGCGTTACGGGACCCTTGCCTTGTGCGAGCGTTATGGGCCGTTGTTTTTTTTTGGGGGGGGGGGGCGTTATGGGCCGGTTGTTTCGTGCTAGCGTTATGGGCCGTTGTTTCGTGCGAGCGTTATGGGCCGTTGTTTCGTGCGAGCGTTATGGGCCGTTATTTCGTCGGCGACGTTACGGGCCATTGTTTCGGGGGAGCGTTACGGACCCTTGCCTCGTGCGAGCGTTACAGACCCTTGTCTCGTGCGAACGTTACGGGCCGTTGTTTCGAAGGAGCGTTATCGGCCGTTATTATCGCTAGCATCGAGCCATTATTGCTATGGGGCACGCAAACAGATCTCCCGTAATAAATGGGCCACCTCGGCTCGCGCCCACACTGTCGCTTTCCCTCTGGCCAAGATCAAAGCTGTCAGGACACGCGGCTGTCCAGGGTCACGCGCTTAACAGCCGGACCCGCCGCGCACAGTGGAACACTGCTGTCGTCGTCACCGGCTGGGTCGGCCGCCAACCGACCAGTGAGCGTGGCCTGCTGGACCGACTGGCCGCTCGCCGCCGCCGTGCGCGTCCACCCCTCCATGGGGAATGACCGCAAGGAGTCGACCATGTGAACGGGGCGACCATGCGCCCACTGGCAGCTGCAGAGAGACGCGCCGAACCTAAAGCGTCGTGTATTGCATCCTAGTCAGCAGCTACACCGACACAATGGGCAGCGTTCGGCCAGCCGGCCGCGGTGCAAAGACCACCAGAATGCAATGCGCGATAAAACGGCGCCCGACATCCACGGGCGGTCCAACGGCGCTTGTCGCAGCGTGGGACGGCGCGGGGGACGAAAGCCCGCTCTTTTGAACAAGGCCCGTGCCGCCTCGGCAGCGTTCAAGCGCGCACGAGCTCCGGCACGTAGCGAGCTCTCACACATGGCGACCGGGCGAACTGCATCACTCCTGCAATGCGACCACGACACGCCCTGCTCGCCGCTGACCTGCCAGCACAGCGCCTCCCGACGAGCCCTCTGCCGGACCTTTGTACAACCACTGCCATTTTCCGCGGCCGTTGGGTGGCTCTCACTTGACGCGCTTCTGCTGGCGTTGCCGGTAGATGTCGTTGGCGGGCGGCGCCTGCATGTCGTCGTCGTCAGAGTCGTTGGCGCGCTTCCTGACGCGCTTATCGCTGTCTCGGTCGACGATCCAGTGTATGGACTTGGCCATTTCGAACTGGGAGGCGCTCTGGCCGTTGGCGCCGCCCGGCTCGGGCGCTGCGGAGTACACGGACGTCGCCGTCAGCGACACGCGGCAAGAGCCCAAAACGCCGAGCAAGCATCGAATACCGAACGAATCCGCCAATATTTCCTGACGTTCACTTTATCCTGCATCCTCGCAACGCACACTTTGTCCGGGGAAAGCTCCGTGAGTGCGCGTTTACGCCCCCTCGCGGAGGCCCCGTGAGAGCGCCGAGCACAAACCCGAAGAGGGGCCCTTTGCGGGTCAAGTCTCGGCAGATGGACCCCCAGAAACGTGTAGGTCTGATCGACCATTATCCACTGTCCTTCATCACATATCCCTGAACGGATCATCAATAACCGCAATAGCTTTAATTCGGACGAAATGAAAACCTACTGAACACATCAGACGCATGGAACTGGAATGCGACGCGACATACGGTCACTGCAGGCATTTAGCTAATCTTAACCCAGCCTCGTCTAGGCCGACGTAGACTTCGAAGCATTCTCATTTCTACACCATCCCGATGTAGACAATGTTTGCTCACAAAAAACCACCTGTTGCAACATTCGGGGTAGACACCATCGGAATGGGAACATGCTGCACACAGCGCTGACTGACGAGCACTAAGAGGCAACTGACATTCGTCACGTCAATTCTTATGCCTGTCAGCACAGCGATACTCGTATGGAGGCGGGCCCATGCCAGACCATCGCGCGTCTGTCCTCTCCGCGCGCGCGCGCACGTCCGGGTCCACTGACCGCTGTCCGGCAGCTCCAGCTCCTCGAAGATCGCCAGCAGAGCGTCCACGCCGACGAAGGGGCCGTGGAAGCAGCGCGGCGGCGGCATCATCTGACAGAGCGCGTACGCGGCCGGCGGCAGCGGGAACCCACCGCCTGCGACGCACACGTGTGCCGGTCAGATGGTGCCGGGCTGAGGGAGGCCACCGCACGTCCCAGGCACGCGCACCCTTCAGACGGGATCGAGCCGACCGAACCGAGCGTCATTTCGAAGCAGACGCAGTCTGGCCAGGCGGGCAGACACATAAGGCCGACGTCTCGAAGCAGCCGCAGTCTGGCCAGGCGGGCAGACAAATAAGGCCGACGTCTCGAAGCAGCCGCGGTCTGGCCAGGCGGGGCAGACACATGAGGCGCGCCCTAGTTACACAGAACACGCCCAGCGGGTGAGTAACATAACGTAGATATACTGACTGGCAAGTTCGAACGCCACGAGTGAGGGATATGGTGACTACAGTGTATGGAAAAGGGTATCGGGGTCCCGGTCCAGATATCTCTTGGTCCGGGCACATTCCCACAAAAACACCTGACCTGCAATACCTGAAAATACCAAAAATACCTCACAGCAGTAAGGATCACGTTCTTCCCAAGCAGGCCTGGACGGATCAATTGATCCGAAATCAGTACAAGGTTCAAAAACGCATGGGAAATCAGTGCAAAAACGCATGCAAAATGCGGTCATGTTGTGAGCCTAAAAGAAAACTGCGTTGCTCATGGGTACTTCGGCACATCAGATTGTGTCCAACCTTTCCAGCCCTTCGCTGTAAACGTACTCTCGTCACAACGTATGCCAGAATGTTTACTACACTCCCAGCCAGAGCAGCCCAGCGGCTGCACAGAGCAAACAGCGACGCCACCTGAGCATGGGGCACCAGCTGTCCCCACACAGGAGCTCACCAGGAATGGGATGTTCGCCGGGCACCCAGTACTGTTTCGGCTTGTACGGCACCATCTGGGCTGTCCCCCACACAGGAGCTCACCAGGAATGGGATGTTCGCCGGGCACCCAGTACTGTTTCGGCTTGTACGGCACCATCTGGGCGAAGTCTGGCCGAGGCAGCTTCTTCTCGTCGTCGCCAGGGGCGCAGTCAGCGGCGCCGCCGCCGACCGCCGCCGCTGAGCTCGTTGTGCTGAACCGAGGCTGGTACCCGATGGCCCTGGTGGTGCGGGGTCACGGGCCAGGTCAGGGGTCGCGATGTGGGGTCACGGATCAGGTCATGGGTCGCGGTGCGGGGTCACGGGTCAGGTCATGGGTCGTGGTGCGGGGTCGCGGGTCAGGTCATGGGTCGCGGTGCGGGGTCACAAGTCAGGTCGTTGGTCACGGTGCAGAGTCACGGGTTACGTTATGGGTCGCACACAGGGGAAGGGAAATGCCCAGACAGTGTGTCCACAAATAACATGTTTGATTTCGTTCAATTAAAGAGACACCTCTACGGCATGCAGTAATTTCTCTGTCAGAACGAACAGGCGGTTTCTAGTCACGGCCGCGGTTTCGTCCCAACCGTCCGGACGAAATGGCGTCAGATGACACGCAAAAGGGCAGTTTCGCTAAAAAGTACTGGGCACTGGGTGATCGTTATATGACGCAACCTACGGCCAGAACTGAGCACAGGCCATCACAAACCAAGAAAAAAGACTCAACAGATCTGGCCTGCTTCAGATTAAAAAATTATGAGAATAACCACAGCAATGAGAGACAGCGGACCACAGCCTGCCAACGGAAGAACAGGCCGCATGCGAGCTGGCAGACCAGCAGTTCATCCGTGTTATGTGAGCTGGCGGACCAGCAGTTCATCCGTGTCATGCGAGCTGGCGGACCAGCAGCTCATCCCGGTTTGGTTTCCACATGTTGCCACCATCGCTAAAAGGCAGTCCTACAAGAAAACTCAAAAGAAAACTGAAACTGAAACCACAACGGACGGTCACTGCCCAGTAGTTGGCAGCCTAGGTCACAGTGTCCCATAACCCCGCCCGCGTGGCCGGGCTGAGGCCGCAGAGCGGGCGCCCGGCCAGCCCGTCACCCTCACCTGAGCTCCTGCCGACTGCAGGGGGTACAGGTCCAGGAAGCGGTAGCGGTCCACCAACAGCGCTGTCTCCTTGCCCTCGTACTCCCGCAGCTGCGGCGACGGCCAGCGGTCAGGGACGGGCCCGGCTCAAGACCAGACCACACGCACACCAGACTGGACAGACCACCACGGCTCCGGTCCATCACAGCCGCAGGCAGGCCGCAGACTAGACCGGACACGGGCTAGACCACACGGATGAAGACACGCCAGGAACATCCACACATTTAGACACACTGGACAACGGCCAGCCCAGAAACGTTAGGGGGACAGACCAGACAAAACCAGACTCATTAATAAGGCTTTTCCTCATGGAACCAGGGCGCTCCACCCAACTATAACAATCACTGCTGAGTGGCATGCTGAGGGAAAGGAGGACGGGACGGGAGGCAGGCGGGTAGCACACCACAGGCCATGCCTGTCCAACGGTGAGGGGCGTACCACGGGGACGGCAGCACAGCATCGACTCAACAGCAACAGGGCGGGGTTCGAAACACCAGAACCTGGCCCGACGCTGGGCTCGCAGGATACGGCGAGAGGCGCAGGCGGTGTCGTTACACAGTAACACAAAGTAACCCCATCATCCATACCAAACGGAACAAACGGGAGTGGCGGGCAAGACCCAGAGATTCGACGAACACGACGGCAACAGTGAGTTGGCTCCACTTAACGGGAGCACAGCTGAAGTCATTTAGACATGCCACAGCACAGGACTACCTTAAAACTAAGCCCTCAAAACGTGCAGACACGGGGGTTTATGTTGTATTATCGCAGCTGTAACCAGACGCTGGACACGTCGACAAGCTGTATCGGCTCGTCAACTGTTTGGCAATCTCAGTTTTGGCAATGGAGGAGGCCGAGAAGTCATATCCACCATACATCACACAGGGACAACTACCAATAAGATTACGCTGCTCTGCACGCCAGAGATTGTGTAGACTGGCATCAAAGGCTTCCGTGGCAAAACAAGACACCGTAATACATCACTAACGGCACGCGCTGCATGCTCCAGAGCACCTCTCATCGCGCCAAACCCGGCCGAGACCTGCCCCAGAATCCACACGACGGATGCGCATGCCGGCGGCCAGCCGGCCGACGCGTCACCTGGTGTAAGATGGCAGTGCGCCGCTTCTCCACCTTGACGATGCTCGTGAGGTCGCCGATGTTGCACTCGAACTCCATGAAGCGGTTCCACACCTCCCTGCCGACGGAGGGGCGTGAGGCGGTGCTGACGGCCGCCGACACCGTGTGGTCCAGGCACCGCGCTTGGCTCCCACGGCGCCCACGTAAGCAAGCACGGATGTTGCGCGTATTTTTGCAACACTGCTCAGCATCTCATATCCGCCTGGATCGCAACAGTGCTCCACCACATTACAATGCGTAAGGCAATGCCGCCGGGTATCGTAAAACTTATGAATCGGTGAAACGAACTAACGTGAAAATCAAAATAATGGTTATGGTACAGCAGCGCTAAAACTCCTGGGACGATTGCATGTCAGCCCTCGACCATCTAAAACAAAGTTCGACCAGACTGGTCCATGGCCAGTACGGCCGTGACGTGAAATACAAACACTGCTTCAAATAAAAAAAAATCCTCCCAAGGGATTGGCTCACACAGACGGGTCCACTGCGATTTCCATCTCGTACGCACGCCGCGGGGCCAGTCCTCCCCATGGCCTCCTTTCCCTGTTCCCAACTTACACAGAGCTGAGCTCATCCAGCATGCCAGAGCTGAGTACGCGCTCGAACAGCACGCGCGTGTTGTTGTCCTCTGCGGGCCGAGATGGGACCCCGGGTCAGCCGGGTCAACGGCAGGCAGGAGCCTGAGTCAGCCCCTGCTTCCGCAGCGGGAGGGACGACGGACGCACCGCAGGAGGGCACAAACACTATGTCACAGAGTCGGGGGGGGGGGGGGGGGGGGCGCCGAGAAGTCAAACTATTGGTACAACCAGCCGATGCAGGGGAGCATGGACTACCACCACGCCTTACGGAACAGTAGGCTATCAACCCTCTCTAAGGTTCCAGCATGTACTCCAGTCATGACTACTCCAGTCTCTCAGATCAGTCATCTCCAGCACCTTCATCCTAACGATCAGTGCAGTACCTCACACACAGGCGATAGCTTTGCTCATCATCTTGGCAGCCCCCAACGCGGGTTGCAACAACTTCGCAGAGTCCAGTAAAATGTTCCCGCCACGCGCAGGATTTGAACTCGAGCCTTCCAAACGCGGTCCAACACGCCGCTTGCTCTAACACTGCCAGCCGAGCGCCAGTCACTTCAGACGAGGCCTGCCTCCGCCGCGGTCACTGACCATTCAGATGGGACAGGTAGTCGATGTAGCACAGGATGTACTGGGTGCTGTCCCCGAACTTCTTCAGGCCCAGCTCAAACACCTTGAAGGCGACCTCCTTGTTCTTGCTGCAGTAATACTCGGTGAGCGCCGCCGACACGTACATGTGGTGGCGCGAGCGCTTGTCCTCGCGCGCCTTCTTGAACACCTTGCGCGCCGACTGGATGCCCTCGGCGCGGCGCGCGAACTTCATGTACTGGATGTAGCCCTGCGGTGGGGCAGGGACACGGGTGAACAGAGTACACCCCCAACACGGAGACGCAAAAATCTACAGCGGCCCCTATGAAACGGAGAAGCGGCATTGCACTCCACGGATCTATGTGACGGGTACAGTGGGAGTGAGCAAATGATTGAAAGCACCCATGACCGTACATTTTACGGAACGTAAAAAGTGATACCAATTATGTTAGAATTCATGTCACACATCCACGCGCTTCAACAATCAACACGCAACACGCACGTCACATCAACAGCAGCTGGGCACAACCGACTACCAAAACCTATCTGACAATCAGCCTTTCGGTGAAGCCGGCTGTCTTACCAATCTAGCTACAGACTTGGCTCCAAACTCCAGCCTTCGCCCGCGCAAAGCATCAGCTGAGATGACATCGCCGCCACCCGAGGGCGACATCGGACGCGGGCGGCACCACTCACCAACGTCGGGTCGATGTCCTCCACGTCGATCAGGCTGCTGTAGATCTTGTGCACCTTCTCGTTGCTCATGCGCGTCTCCTCGAAGTCGGCGTAGGCGAAGTAGATGAGCATGCAGCGCCGCATTGGCCCCTGGGTGGCGCGCTCGAACACGGTCGCGATGTCGTCCGAGATCAGCTTGGCGCCGTTCACATCCTGGCCGCGGCCCGAGGCGAGGAGGTCCGTCAAGTCTCGGAACCACCGACGCCCTCACACAGAGGGGGCCACCGGGTAGGGCTTCGAAAGCGGTGGTGTCCATGCGGAAGAGAGTTACGACCGGTGGTGGTTTTCGGGAGGCAGTGCGCTTGAGACTGTGGAAGGCATGAGCTACAAAACACGCGTGGTAAAGAGCGCCGCCCTCGGCGCAGGGAAGCATGTAAGCTGCGGGATGTTTACCCATGATGCAACGCGTCCTGTTCCAAAACCACACCCACCACACCGCCGCAGCTCCGCCACCACCAAATATCCTCCCCTCAGCCCACCGCACGCTGTCTGTTGCCC